CAGCAAAAAAAATGTAGGCAAGATTGACTTGAAGCTTCATCAGTTACCAGAAATCTAAAGAAAGCTTTCCATGAATGGGTCAGTTGGGTCATTTCTCCAACCCTGTGGGGCCAAAAGGAAAACACTACTCCACCTGATCGCTCCCCTGCTGCCATCAAAATTCTCCTCCACTGAATCAGAGTGGGCTGTTTATGCTGCTTTCAGAAATTTTAAGCAGTTTTACCTCCACATTCTTTGAAACAGAGAAGAAAACATACCAGTTACAACGTGAGCAGCACAATATACATTAAACTAAAGGTGCAAGTGTCCAAAGATGCCACAGGCAAAGGCCAAGAGTTAGGAATCCCACGCTCACAAGACCACATCAATATCAAAGCTCACTGCCCTGATGAAAGGCGTTCCCAGTCCTGCATTCTTCCTTCAGCCCTTCTCTCTTGAACCAGCAAGAGGAGATAAGAAACTCCAAAGAGTAAAGAGATTCTCTCTGGGCAAGAAATCATTTGAAAGAATCCAACAGCCTATGACCAATTATAATCAGCTGGTGGAGCAACAAGAGACAAACCCTAAATCCTTGTGACTATTTCCTCCCACGTTTATATTCTGGGCCACACTAATCACAACAGGGCAAGGCTGGAGCCACCAGAAAGCAAAGGTTGCCCTCAGCAAGCCTGGGAGCAGGGCATGAGCAGGGACGCTGGGAAGAGTGAGCAGTCAGTCCGTCATCGACAGCTGGACAAACACTTTCCCTGCAATTTAGGAGTTCTGCCTCTAGTCTGTTTTCATGCAACCAGTGCCTGTCAGTCTTGTCTGAAAAAGCTAATCATGGTGCAAAGTTTGTCCTACCATCACCCCATTTCTGAATTCATTCTTTCAAAGTGGGAAGGAAGACGATGACTTTTGGTCAATAACTCTGACAAAGCCATTATCCTCAGGGTATTAAATGGAGAGATAAGAACTTCAGGGCTTCCCACAAATCATATTAGTTCAATTCTCAAATCCGGGTAATGCTTCTTTTCAAAGTATTAATTTCATTTATTCTATTTGCTCTCCCTCTGTCCTGATAACACAGGCACACATGGCCCCTAAATGAGATCCTCCTACTTTATAAGTTATAATCCTCCCTTTCTAGAGTAGTAATGAGATGTGTTCACTTAATCGCGTTTATTCCCCCCCCCTCAGCTTCTGCTTTTATCCATCCCCATTCCACATTGATTTGTCTCAAAGGTTTCAGTGAAAATCATCAGGCAGGGAGTCACTGGTTCCAAGAGGCTCATGATGCATATGCTGCACATGCTGCACAGCCTTAAGAGATTACAAAAGCAGAAAGGATAAAAAAGAGCAGCTCTGCTTGCAGAGTTTCTTTTGTTGGCAAGAAGGGCTAAAAAAGAAAGCCAAAAGGACAGAGAAGTTGAGAGGTTCCGATTAATTGGAAGTGAAAAAGGAAAGACTCCTGGTCCAGGGGAAAGGTGAGACCGTGCACAACACAGTGCAGCAATTAAATAACTTGACTATGACAACTTTGGAAGTTCCTCATGCTAGAAATAAAAAAAAAGGATTTAAAGATAGCTGTATTAGTTCTTGGATATTTCACATGAGACTTAAGGCATGCTACAAGCATTAGTTAACACCCTAGGCCCTGCTGTGAAGTACTGTACATATGATCCTTGTTGTATTCTAAGTGCTCACAGCATTAAATTATTCAGAGTCCAGTCAGCACCACGATCCTGCAGTGCTGTACAAAAACATTTTACCAATACAAATCGGTGAGAGTTCCTCTGCAGCATCTTAGCAGACTATTCCATTGAAGCCCGTCCCCCATGGTTAATCAGAAGCCACATTCACACAAAGAGGGTAGTGAATGCCGCAGTGTTTCTACTTACAGAGCTGGTTTGCTTAAACTAAAACTTTACAGAGTTTTATTCAAAACCTAAGGTATCTAGAAGCCACGTACCTTGTTCAAAGTCATTAAAAAAAGTGATCAAGACAAAAATGTACAACAGGACCCAAGCACTTAACTCAAAATCCCTCTTGTAAACAGTGCACCACTTCAAGAAAACAAAACAAAACTCACCACCCAAACCACAAAAAACCAACAATAAATTTTAATCTGTACCCTACCCCAGAAATGATGACATAACTGGCCCCAGAAGCAGACAACAAGCTCCCTATCAAAGGTTAGCTCTAGTCCACACTCTCTTCAGAAACGTGTACCATGCAACAAGACTGAAGTGCTTCATAGCAACGCTGTCAATAATAAGTCAGTAAATGAAAAATCATGAAAAATAGATTAAATGACAAGCGATGTTCAGCACAATGAAAATTAAATAGTTTCAAAATATAGCTATCATATTTGGATTTATGGTCTACAAGCAGCAAGGTCAAAGGAGACTATTGCAGCACTACTGGAGACAACTGCACAAAAAGCGGCCACTAATCACCAAACTATTGATACGTTAAGGGCACAGGACAGCTCAAGATCTTACAGCAATTATTAAATAAATAAATAAAAACCTTTCTAATTATATGTGGCACGAAGAGCAGCTCACACCCATTCAAGCTGTATTCCAAATAAAGGAAAACAAAAACACTGAAAGCCAAAGGACAGACATGATTTGAGTAGCACTGAGTCAATACAATAAAGTAACCGTGCCCAAAAGGAAACCGTAGCGTGAACAAGTCTGATAGGGATCCCAATAATTTAAATGGCTGGCAAAAACACTTCCTGCTTCGGAAGATATCTAGAAGGTGATAGACAATAGATTTGACCTCATCTCTGCAAGGACAGGCTAGACTATTCCATTTTTAAGGATCTTAAATTTATGACTGATCAAGAGATAGTTAAGGAGCAATGAAATTTAACAGCTTCTCATTCTTGCACCACATTCCAGGCTAACAGTCCATGGTCACTATTTATCTTTTATGGGCTACACCAGGAGAGCCTGATCAGGTTTTTGCAGAGTATGAAGTATGCAATATCTGGGTATGTGACACCACAGGATTAAAAGCTAATTCAGATAATAGAACAGCTTTTCTATGTTAGCCGTCCGGTCCCAACTCATTTTAGAGATGACCTCTTTCCAGTTTGCAAATATTGCCTGACTCCGCTAGTCACGTTTCTCCAGGATTACTCTATACCTCACTGCAGAGGGCAGGGCTCTGCTGCTGAGCCAGGCCACATCTCCAGGTTGGACAATAAATTCACTAGGTCCTTCCCTCCCTCTTTACAGAAGTCCGTTAACTGCATTCATGAAGAGAATATTCTCTTTCCAGTGGCAAGAGAGTTAAATGCTGCCTCTGCTGGCCCGGATGCACTGTGCAGAGGAAGGGCAGTACCTGCCTCAGCCACCACTACTCTAAAGCTCAGCACTCACACAGCTCCCTGGGGTCGGGGCACAAGCTGCCAAGAGGGTGTTTCCTGTGACACAGCAGCCATTCCAAACTCTCTCCAGGAGAGCAGTCTGAGACCTCCCAGTCCAGCCCCATACAAACGTTACCACAGAGTCAAAAAGCACAAACGGGTCCGAAACTACAAACGAACAAATTCATGGATGACAATTTTATTAAGGACCATTAACTGCCAAGGTGAAAATGCAACCTCTTGCTGAAGAAGCCTCTAAGCCCCAGAGTAACAGAAGTTGCAAGGGGATACTGGTGGGAAATACTGCGATACAGCTCCGTACGCAGCTGCTGTGGATCACTATCAGAGACGGGCAATAGCTAGAAGGAACTGTCTGAACCCCTACAGCCATTCTTATATAAATTTTATTTAGTTAGCCCCCCCAAATTTCTTCATATTATCACCTCAAAACACTTCACAGCCAAGTCACGTGCCTGGTAAGCCATGCCTCTTAGCATTCAACGTACAGAAAAAACATGCTCACTGGATTCTTCATTTAAATCAAGTGCATGCAACAGACCAGCAGGATGGAAGAAACACAATAAAGACCATCATTACTCAAGTCTGCCCCCTCCCTAAACCATCCCTGCAGTATGTACCAAGCAAGGAGAATTACTCTTAGTCCAGTTCTCTGAGTTTCAACTTCACAGTCTAAAAGAACAGGCAGTTTGATGTCACTGTGGCAAACACAATCCCACCTCACTGTCACACACCAACTACTCCTATCACTGCAGGTCAGGAAAAACATGGCAGTTCCAGTAAGACTCCACAGGCAGTACACCATTGCCAAAACAATATAAGATAGGATTGTGTGAATATTAAGCACCAAGGACAACCCCGATCTACTGCCGTGACATAAGCCTTTTGTTCTACTCAGTCTCATCTCACTGTACTTCTGCCCCCACCACTGGCATGACATAACCCAATGGGGTATCTCAGCAACCCCGAGGTGCCTGACTAATAGTAAAGGCTTCAGCAAGATGTCCCCAAAAATAAATCTGTCTATTGGGCAAGAACAGATTGGTTTGGGAGTCAGTGGTGTGTACAAAAGGGGTTTATGCTTCTGGTCCCTAAAAATCAATCTTAAGCCTTCTTTAAAATGTTACAATACTTGACAGTTTTATAACAGTTCTTCTGTTACCAGCATCATGAAAGACTCAAACAACAGAACTCATTGTCACCTTTCGTTAATTTGGGGATTTGAACAATTATACTCTAGAAAAACAGAGCAAAGTTTCAGGACAGATCAGGTCAGTAGAATCTGATCCTGTATAGATCAAAACATCCATTTCTCACACAGAACATTTAGAAGAGTTCTCTCTAACCCAGACAACGACCCCAAGCACCCACCCCATGCTGCCCTTGTGCCCTCACAGCCATTGCTTACACCCTTCCCTGCAGGCCCAGCCTTAGGGTTTCTGCAGGACACGCTGCAAGAGCAGCCTGACAGCTAGCTGTGAGCCACAAGTGATGAATTGGGAGGTGATCGGCCTAAATCAAAGTTTTTAAGCTGATCACACAAGTGACATTTAATGCAGCCTCTCAAGCAGAGATATTCTAGCCTGTCCTGTGTGAAAACACAGTGGGGATTTTTGTTACTCACCAGCTGGGCCGCTCTCTGCCTCTCTTCATTAGTGCTGTTTCTCTCCCGCTGAAGTGCAGTGTTCAAGGCCTCACTAGCTGCTTCCCTTTCTCTTTTGGCCAGCCGGAGCAACTCCTCCTGGACCAGCGCCTGTTCTTGCTCATACCTGTATGAGTGCCAAAGGCAGAGAGAAGGTGATCAGCAGACTCCTGGCAACAGGGTCACGGCTTAGCATGGGCCATCCCTGCCTGGAGCCCAAACACAGCTCCATGATCTATTTGACACAAAGTCTGCTCACAGCCCCTCCGTGACAGCAGGAATTCAGAAGTCCAACAAACTTCAAACATGACCTGCAACTTCAGTGAGGTACAGTTCTGGCAACAACAGCAGACTTTGCACCATATAAGCTTATACCTCAGTTATATTTAGCTCCATTAAGTATTAACTATCACCTGAAAACAGTGTGAATACAAAGCAGTTAGGCAGATAAATAGATATCACTTTGGAAAAGATCAAGGGACATACAACAATAAAAGCAGTTAGCCTATCTGAAAATGCTGCTCTTCTGCTCTACAAGGGAAAGAAAATCATATAAAATACATGCAACAACAGCGCTGAGAGAACCAGCCTTGTCACATCTGTAGCCTGGACACCTGAATCTCAAACTGCCACACAGGACACTTCATCCAATTCAAGCCTTGGAAATTCCACATGCAAGCAAAGAGAGATTAACTTGAAGTGAATCACAGAATAAATTAGATAAGACAGGACCTTTGAAGTTATCTCAAAACAGAGATAACTTCAGGGTAGATCAGGTCACTCAGGGCCTTCTTTGGTCAAATCCTGACAATCTCAAAGAGTGTAGATTCTGTATCCTCCTAGTGTAACCCGTTCCAGTGCTTCACTGCACTCACGGACTGTTTGGGGTTTCCCCCCACCCCAATACCCAGACAGAATCTTTGCTGTGGTCTGTGTCTCTTGCCTCTTGTCCTTTCAGTGTGCACCTCTGAGAACAGTCTGGCACTGCCTCTATTTCACTATTTGAGGAAGCTAAAAACAAGAGTGGGACCCCCTTCTTCACCAGGCTAAGCCAGTGCGGTTCCCTCAGGCTCTCTCCTCCACGGATCTAGCTTGCAGAGGAATGTGGCATCACACAAACTTTTTGAGGCTGCATCTCAGCCCATCCAGGCCCGGTTCTGGTTCCACAGCTGAGCCACACACATACAAGCTGCTCCCCCCTTTCTTGTCTTCCCTGCCTGCCTTTCCACTGCATTTCTGCCCCTACTTCTTTCCCAGACCAGGCACTTGGGATGCAGTTCAGCAGCTCAGCATGGAAAACTGCCAGCAATTTCAATTCCACAGTCCCCAGGAAAGTGAACCAGCAGCTCAAGAGAGACTTCCCTTGGTTGCATCTCTGACTTTCCTAAGGACAGCGTGATTGATGCAATGGGGTTTTAGCAGGTTTGGTCAGTCACTTGCAACACTCAAAAACCACTGGACACAGACTCATTCTCTTTGTTACCTAGACTATAAGCACGGTAAAGACAAAATTGGAGCAGCAAAAGAAAGAACAGGAAAAGACCCATCTTTACAGCACCTTTAAGAATGCACAGACAGATCAGGCCAGCAATTTTATAACAAAGCTACTGAGTTACACAGAACTGAAGTTCTCACTGCCCTGCAAGACCACTGCTGTGGCTCTGTCAGAGGGAAGGACAGTTTTCTTTTACAATTTTTTTTCCCCCCTCACACTTACCCTCACCTTTACACAGGTATTTCTACCCTAATAAATTAAAATACCCTTGGATGAAAAATTCATAGCACTGGTACTAGCTGACAGGCACTATGTCTAGTCTAGGAAAAGGAGGAGGAATAGAATCATATACACAAGACAGACCTGATTATTTTAGGTATAAACTGAATTAAACCCATTACCATTTGAGACTCCCAAATCCCTGACAGAAGTATCAAACACTTATACTCCTTCATTTGTGCCTGAAAATCCAACTGCACTCAAGTTTGTGCTCTACTGGTCTTGCAATGCCCATCATACCCAAGTTTTCTGCAGTTACCAACTCACGACATCAGTCCCTCATTTCTCCAAACACCACTCCAATCACCCACATCTCCCCGACTAATCCTTTTGGCTAAGGGATGGCCTTCCCTAAAAAATGTGTTACGTTGCCCTTAACTGAAAAAGGCTTTAATGCCTGAGAATCCCCTTTAAAACAGAGTCATTGCACTTGGACAGAAGCAAAACTTTATATATATTATATATTCCAAAAGGAGCTAAACACTTGTCTTTTTCAAGAACTTCACCTCACCTCCTGTACAGTTCCTGCTCTGCAGCAGAAGACTTCTGACCAGAGTCACTTGGCATTGGTGGCTGGATTCCTAGAAAGAACAGAAACCTGTGATAACTACAGTACAAAACATAGTCCTTCATCACATCGTAAATTATTTGAGAGGAAAATTTAGTATGTAAGTGTTATCTCATCAAGGGAAAAGAAAATACATTTTGAAAAGTCTCAAAAAAATTTAAGGTTGATGGATGGAGTCTGAATTCACAAAACAAAGAGACACTGACAACATCATCTTCAAGACACGCTCAAACTTCTAAGTAAGGATGTTAGCTCAGACCCTGGTTTATACAGAAATGTAAGCACAGTTTTAGACCTACCTTCCATTTCCTTCCTCTAGTTCCATTAAGTCTTCCCCTCGACCTCCTACTTTTGTTGTAATTACAAGGGATCCCACAAGAGATGAAATTATTTGATGGAGTTCAGGCCATCCATAAGACTGAATACACTTTCAGGAAAGACATAGGCTAACAGCAAACAAATCTCTAAAAGCAAAGGCCCAGTTCCCTAACTTCATGTGAGTCTGGATGCCTTAAACAAATCCACACTGATAACATCTATCAACAAAGTGTATGTGAGAATCAAGAGAAATCAAATAGCTTTCTGACCTGTAAAGAAAGACAAGTTCAGAAACCGAGTTCTCAACATCTATTTAGCAAGCTGTGCTTAGTCAGTCTGTCCTTCTCTATGAGCTTATTTCAAAAGAAAAAAAAAAAAGCAGTATTTCCCCTATCCATCCACAACATACTCCCTGTGCATGCAGAGGAGACAGCAAGGCAGCTTGCCAGGAATGAAAAGTAAAATAAGAAATTTCTGCCTTGCTTATTGCATGTTCATCTGAAATCCTAGAAAGGTTCACAGAGGGATGGATACAAGTTAATTAAAGTATCTGAGAAGGGAGGTAATCCAAAGATGGAGAAGGAAAGGACCTAGAAGAACAATCTGTCTGTTTTAAGGTCACGCAGTGACAGAACCAAGACCCGTAGCATTTCAAGTGCTCTAACTGCCAGCTGACACGGCTACCTTTCAGAAACACAAAGAGGACATCACAGGACTGTAACATCCAATAACTACATACATTAAAATGTTACAGGTTAATCAAAGAGCTCCTCTCACATCAAGGTAGTCTTGAAAAACACAGGCACACGGTATAACATCCAGCGGCAGCGCTGCTGAGGAGTGTGTCAAACAGTCAGCAGAGCTGCAAGGGACTGACAGTACCTGTAGGAGGTTTGGGTTTCCCCTCTGCAGCTGGTGAAGAGGGAGCTGTGCCACTGGATGAACGGGGCGATCTCTGGTTGTCCCTTTTACTTTGAGGAGATTCTTTCATTCGGTTCACTACATCTTCAGAGAGCTGAAACATAGGTACACAGGGAAGAATTAACCAAGTTAACAATGTGTATATATTGCATTATAAAAGCTCCCCATTTGTTAGTTTCCACGCTACTGCAAAAGAATTGCCAGTGACCTCACTTCAGTGCCATGGTCCTTTGAATCCAGGTGGCCAACAACTGTACATTGACTTTACATTTTTATAAAACAGACTCTATCAGCAAGTGATAAAACCGCCCACCGACTGACCCTACAGGCTTCACTGGACAATGACAATTAATCTTCCACAAATACTAATGAAGGTGGAGAGCACCTAGCCAAACCCTTGACTAGGGACAGATCTACCAGAAGTGGAAGAAAAGGAACTAAGGGAGTTGTAAGTCCACCCCATCCATCCTCCTCCTTCCCCCCTACTTGTTGCCCAGCTCCACATGGCAGACGTGCTGCAAACTCCATAGCAGAGAAGAGCTGCACAGCCCTCCCGCTCACATAAGGCCGCAAACATTTTTTGTAATTTCAACATCATTCTCGCTCCCTTACTTGGGTCCAAACCATGGAAAAGAAACAAGTTAGCTTGAGTTTTCTGGCAATCCAGACCAAGGGACTTCTCACAGCACTGTTAAGATTGACCCCTTCCTCCTCCCGGGACCAGAGGTTCTGTGCTGACTGTTCCGGCTCCAGAACAAAACAAAACGACGCTGTTTCCCCACCTAGGCTGGTCACAGTAAAAATGCAGCTATGCCACTGCTACCCAGATTAACAGCATTTTTAACATCTTCATTATATGTTGTTATCATTCCAAATTCCTGTTTATGGGAACCGTTTTTTAAAAACACAAATCTGTAAAAAGCCATAATTAGTTAAGGGCAGGCTCAGTGGAACTACTTTTTTTTTTTTATACACAGCTGCAAAAAAACTCAACATCCTTGGTAGTAAGAAAAAGGAACAATTATTTTGCTTCACAAAACAAGCAAACCAAAAAAAAAAAAGGGGAAAAGAAAAACTTTTACTTCAAGTCGTCAAACAAAGTTCTCCAAAACCACAGCGCACTTAACCTGATTAGCTATCAGGAGATACACAGAGCATCTTCACCTTGAGCTCCTGGAGGTCATAAACAGACCAGTAACAATGAACCCACGTCAGCATCCAGCTGATGGAGCAGCTAACTAAATTAAAGCACCAGAACAAATTACATCTATGGGAGGTGAGAATGAGTCCCCAAGGGGTCCCTGCCAATATCCTGTAAAGAGAAATCAGGCAAGAGCAATTTTACCTCCATCAAACACTTTAAAAAGGAGATTGGCACAATCTTAGTTAACTTTTGTCAAATGATTAGTCAAAACGGTATGAAAAATAAGTAACCACAACAAAATACACTTTGTAAGCTCATTTCAGACAAATCTCTGGGGAAAGCCAGATAAAAGTATGAAGAAACAACAGCAATGAATATTATGGTAGTAATAAATTTAACTGATGAAAAACAGGGAAAGAAATCTTGATGGGGGAAGAATATGTTCCTTAGTGACACCACCACCACTCTCCAGGGCTTGTTTTGACAACACATACATGTAGATGTCTGCTCAAAGTTCAAGAAGCAGTTTCCCACTGCCCCTCCTAGAAACACCCCTAATCCTCCCTCGTCCCCACAAACTCCTATCTCCCTGAATGTTCAGTGGTGCCACGGCTCCCTGGTATCACGAACAAGGGCAGGGGTGTCTCCTCTCGGATGCCCTCAAAGACAGGCAGCGCCTTCAGCATCAAACCGCTCGCAAAGCGCCAGGCAGGGGCAGGCTGGGGCCATCCATCAGCGAGGAGGGGGAGAGGGCTGAGGACAGGGTTCGGAAGGGGAGGTAAAGGGCTGGTGTGGCACCCCTCGGGGCCAGCCATGCTCAGGCCCTGGGCGCCCTTTCCCGCCTCTCCAACCCCCTACTCCTTCAGCCTCACGGTTCTTCACCCCTCCTCCTTGCTGGTTTGCCCCACGCACCCCCCCCCCAGCCCCCGCCCCAACGCCTCGGCT